TTCAAGTATGTATGTTTAAAAAGTATACGTACATATGTATGTTAAGAAAACCAAGGTTGTAACTAACAACCCTAGTTTTGAGTATTTAAGTTTTAGAACGTTGCAACAGTACATGCAACAAATAAATGAATTTTAAACATGACGATTTAAATGAGTAATTTTAGAAGGACTTTAAGATGTACTTGAATTTAAGATTTCTCACGAAATCCGTTTTAAAGTCAAATGAGATGGCCGATTGAAATGACTAGTTTTAGAAAAACTTTTAAAGAGTATTTGAAACAAGAGTTCAAATGCTATTCCGTTTGAAGGATATTCCTAAAAGGTTTTATCTTAACTAAAATTAAGAAAAGCTTTAAGAAATTTAGTGATTCACTTATTTGAAATTATTGTTACAAATTATGAAAGTATTCCTTCTTATATAAAAAAAAAAAAATGTTCCGCATATTTTAAGAAACCCCAGTAAGTATAAGTTAAAGTTTAAGTTATAGTGGCGGCCTCATAGGAGGGTCATCACATTAGTAATGCTGTAAATTTTAAAAAAATTACTTTTAATTAGTGCTAAAGGAAAAAATAGTTGAATATTTGATAAACTATAATTATACAAGTGTTGTTTGTTCCAAAAGTATTCCTTCTTATATAAAAAAAAAAAAATGTTCCGCATATTTTAAGAAACCCCAGTAAGTATAAGTTAAAGTTTAAGTTATAGTGGCGGCCTCATAGGAGGGTCATCACATTAGTAATGCTGTAAATTTTAAAAAAATTACTTTTAATTAGTGCTAAAGGAAAAAATAGTTGAATATTTGATAAACTATAATTATACAAGTGTTGTTTGTTCCAAAAGTATTGTAATAACATTTGGTAAATTGTGAGGTTGAATTGTTGTGAGTAGTTAAAATGACCGTAATTAATAATCTTAAATTAATATATAAAGTAATTAATAATTGATAATTATTTAGCAAATAAAAATTAATATATTAATAATAATATAATAATAGATAAATTATCATTAATGAGTACATTAGTAATTAAACTATATATATATAATAAATTAATATGCTAAATAATTAGTAATAGTAATTAGTAATTAATTATAAATAATTACTATGTTTCATATTTATTAAATTATAAGTAATTAATTAGTGTTTTAAGAAAAATAATTAGTATATACATAATTTATTAATATTCCTTTTACTATTTAAATTATTAACTTTTAGTTACATAATTAAATAATTAGTTAATTAATTACTAATGTTTATTTAATAATCCATTATTTGATATATCACATGATTAATTTTTGGTAATTATTCTATTTATATTGATTAATTACTAATTATCAATTATTAATTATTATTGATTAATATATTACATTTTGATAATTATAATTTAATATTAATTATTAATTGAGTAATTACTATTTATTTTTTATTTACCAACTATTTACTAATTAATAGATTATAATTAACATAACATATTATTGATATATTAATTATTTATTATTTATTTGATAACCTATTATTACTTATTTTATTGTTAATATGTTATATAATTAATTTTTGACAATTAATATTTAACTAAATAAATAATATTACTATATTATTTATACTAATAAAAACTTATTTATTAGTTATTAAGTATATCTATTTATTAATTATTAATTAATATAATATAATTAGTAATTAATTATTAATTATTTAATGTAATTTTATTGATAATTATTATTTGTACTGTGTTAATTCTCACATAATTTAAAAATTAAAATTATCTTTGAACTGTTTTTAATTTTAAGTGTAAATTTTTTAAAAATTCTTTAAAAGTTATTTTTTATAATTTTTATTAAACACTATTATCAGTTTCTTATGATAATTAAAAAAGTGAATTTAAACTCTAAAAAGTATACCAAACGCACCCTGTATATTACTGGTCCATTTATTTCGCTGACTCGAGTTTGTAATTTGAGTTGAAATGTGATTTTATGTGAAAGCTTTTTACTATAATAAAAAAATTAAATGTAATTATTTTTAAAAAAATTTTACTGTAATAAAACTCGAATCGGCGAAATATACTCGAGATTCAAGGCCCTTTCTTTCTTCCTGAGATGAGAGAACAACCTCAACCCAAGACGTACAATTTACAAAACAAAACAAGACAGTTAACTTTTTAAAATAGCAGGTAAAGTCACTGCAGAGGAAATGGTAACGGAAGCCCCTTATTTTACGTAATTTAAGTTGTAGCTTGAGGGTATTTTCGTAAATTCAATTATACTATCTTTTTGGCCTTTTGCTTGCGTTACAGCATGTTGAGGGAAGAAAACTCATAAGAAAAGTACCACTAGTGATTTGGGCACTCTTGACTCTGCCTTCACTTCTCATCCTCCTAAGGCCTAATTTGATTTTCGCGCTTAATACTACGATTTTAATTTTGCCATGTTATTTTTCTCTTCATTGACAGAAACTCTTTTTATTTAAAAAGATGTTATAAGAGTTATAAATAGTACATTAATTATTCTTGTTTTTGGTTTTAATTCCTCTTTTAAAATTTTAATAGTTATTCTGTTGTATCATTAAATCTGGAACCTACTAATTAAGGTGGTAGCTTAAAAAAAGCTTGTGCATTACTAAAAGTGAAGTAGTAAATGTATGAAAACATCCATCTTCAACTTAGTTTAAAACTGCTTGAACAACGTATGCTGAAAGTTGGCTCTAATAAGTAAAAAGAAAATACAAAAAAAAAAAAAAAAAAATTTGTGTCGTGTTTGGAATTATTCTTATTTTTATTTTTCACGTTTCTTGAAAAAAATAAAAATAATTATAAAATGACGTTTGACATAATTAAAGATAAAAAAACATAAATGAAAATGATTTTTTAGTTTAGTGTAAAATGAGAGAGAAATGAAAAATAATTTTTAATCGTTTTTCTTTTTTTATTTTCGTTTTCTCATCTCTCAAGCAGAGAGAGAGACATTAATGAGTTTTTTATACTGAAAACAATCTCTTGATAAAACTACCAAACGCATTTTTAAAAATAATTTATGTATGAGATTGAAAACGTTTTCATTCCCATTTTCATACAAAAAACAAAATTATTTTAAAACGAGTTTCAAACGCACCATTGGTTTTAACTAAGGATAAATGAGTGTCGAATTTCTCATTTTATGGCTTGCCTATGTATTTACCTTTTCACCCAACATAGAATATTTGGCTGGCCTGTTTGTTTTATAGATTTGAAATACTGTTCAATTTTTTTTTACTACATTATCTTTTTTTATAAAATTTAAATTTCTTTCTAAAATTACGTATGTTAAAAATTTATGTAACTTAAATTATTTTAATTGATGTGATATACTATTATTGAAAATATAAAAGAGAACAAGAAAAGAGAGACATGTGAACCAAATCTTAAAATAAGATACAATCCCAACATTAACAAATAAGAAAATTTGCTACATCTTGTTTGTGAATTTAAAAAAAAAAAAAACGCAGGATAAATAGGTAGAGAAACTATTAGCACCGTAGAGTTGTAAGCTTGGGTCACATCAAACAGAGCTACCCGAAACTTGATATTGTTGGCCCGGGTCAATATTTTAGGCTCAAAAATCATTTTGGCCCAGCTTAAAGTACTTTATTATTATTTAAACGTTTGATTTATAAATTTAGAATCATGATTCATAATTATTTTTAATTTATGTATATTTTTTATGAAAAAAAATACTATAACAAATAACGAATTAAAGATTCAAATCATTGCACAAATTTACTAATTAAACGCACTTTTTTTGAAAAAATTGTAACCAAAGTGAAGCGGCCGGTTCGGTCTATTAGAAAGCGGGCTGATCCAACCCGACATCAATTTCTTATTTGGGCCAATGGGTCCAGATCGGACGGGTTGAACTTTTGGCTCTAAGCACTAGAGGATGGATGGTAATTGTACATGGGAACTGAATTTCCAAATAAACAATGGTCTTAGGAGGGTAAAAGCAATAAATACAGGTGTGGGATTTTAGTAGCAAGCATTGAAGCAAGCAAGGAGGCAGCTTTAAAAAGCAGTGAGAGAGAGTACACTGTACAGGATCTGACAGGGTGTAAATGGTAATTTGAAAGTTTGTAGTGCCCAACGTATCAAAAAGGAAAGTGCTCCAAATGTATCTTGTAAATTAAGGGAAAGACATTGTACAGTAGTATACCACTATGGGCGGGTGACAGAAACCCGGCAGAAGGAGAGAGAGAGAGAGAGATAAATTTGTTATCAGAAACACAAAAGAAAATTAAAAAATTAAAAAAAAATGGAGAGAGAAATAGAGAGGGATAGGGACTAGTGAGAGAGAGAGAGAGAGAGAGATGGAGAGGAGAGGAGAGGTGGGCACTTTATTACCTTTTTCATGATGCACGCATCCATGGCAGAGCAGCGAAGAGAAGGGGCTCAGAGTACTACTGCTACGACACAACTACAACAACATCAATAACAACAACTACAAGGGTAGAAGTAGAAGGAGAAGAAGAATTGATAGATTGGAAAGAAGAAACAACAACCCAGTAATACCAAGATTCAACCACCAGACCAGAAGAGGCCCCTATTGAGAGATAAAGACAGAGAGAGAGAGATAGAAAGGAAACAACTTTGTTGAAAAGAGAGAGAGAGAAGGAGATGATGGAGCTGAAATGGAGTTAGGCAAAGGAATATCGGATAGAGATGATAACAAAACTAGTGAGGAGGAAGAGAAAGAACTGAAAATGGGTTTTGTTTAAAGGCATGATGGCATGCAAGGAGCGATGGTGGGTTTGAAGCTGATTAGAAAGACAGAGTTTGTTTCTCGGAAGAAATCCACTTTCAACCCAGTTGAGCTTATTATTACTATTATTATTAGTATTATTGTCATAAACATTGGTGGTGTTGTTCTTTTTAATAACACAAATCTGGCCCTCGGGTTTGGGGATTTTATATTTTGATCCACTCTGTATGTATTTATGAATGAGAGGGATGCCCTTTCAGTTTGAGCAGAAGGGGTTGTTTGAAATAGCACAAGGAGGAGTGTTTTGGAATAATATAAACAACAAGTATTGGAGCAAAGAAGAACAAGAGGAACTTCTTCTTTATAGCTTTGCCAACAACATCAACAACGAACCCACTTCGGTTCTTCATATGAGAAGAAGCCCCAGTCCTCCCACTTCGGCTTCCACTCTCTCTTCCTCTTTTGGCGGCGGCGGAGACACCGTAGGCGGCGGAGGCGGCGTGGCTACAGTACTTCATCCAGAGACACCGGCCGGGCCCACCACCACGACCAAAGACGAGTGGGCGTCGGAGCTTCAGCCGATCCCGGAAAGATGCGGTGGCCTTGTTGTTGGTGGTGGGGGGATGGAGGATTGGGAGACCATGTTGTCGGAAACAACGGCGGTGGCGGCGGCGTCTCCGGGGGGCCCACAAGACCACTCCCTCCTCCGCTGGATCGCCGGGGACGTTGTCGTCGACGACCCTTCCTTCGGCCTCAAACAGCTCTTGCAGACCGGCAACATCAACAACAACAACAGTCCTCTTGATTTCGACGGCAATGCCGGCTTCGGAGTGGTGGATTTCGATCCGAGTTTAGGGTATTCTGGTTCTGGGTTTGTAAACAGCAGCAACAACAATAGTGGCAATGGTGGTGGGAAGATTAATGTTGGGTCATCAATAGCACCGCCAACGAGCTCTTCTGGGCCACTCAATTACAAGGTTGCTACCACTACCGTTGGCTTCACCAACAACAACTGTAATATTGGGCAAAACCCAATCTTGTCTAATGGTCTCCCTCTGCCTCCGGGAATGATTTATCCTCCGCAGTCGTTGGACGAGAAGCCGCAGATTCTGAATCCGCAGATGCTGGGTCAAAACCCAAGCTTTCTGCTGCCATTAATAGAGCAGCCGCCCCAACAGAAGCGCCACAACTCCGGCGGCGTAATTATGGCAGCAGTAGACCCACCACCGGCACCAGCCTCTCAGATCCCCAAAGTCCCGTTTTGCGATCCGGGGCACGAGTTCTTGATGATGAGGAAGCAGCAGCAGCAGCAGCAGCATCAACATCTGGGTAATAGTTTTGTTCCTCAGGGGATGATGATGATGCAGTTTCTTCCGAAGCAAGAGTTACAGCAGCAGCAACAACAACAACAACATGCTTTGCTGGACCAGGTGTATAAGGCGGCAGAGCTGATAGGGACAGGGAACTTCTCACACGCGCAAGGGATATTGGCGCGGCTCAATCACCACCTCTCCTCCCCATTTGGAAAGCCCCTTCACAGGGCAGCTTTCTACTTCAAGGAGGCTCTTCAATTGCTCTTCAACAACAACAACATTAACAACAATTCCAACAACACAATCTTCCCTCCACCTCCCAGGTGCCCTACTCCCTTTGACGTCATTTTCAAGATGGGAGCTTACAAGCTCTTCTCCGAAATCTCCCCTCTCATTCAGTTCCTCAACTTCACCTCCAATCAGGCCCTCCTTGAAGCCCTCTCCGATTCCGCTACCATCCACATTGTCGATTTCGACATTGGCTTTGGTGCTCAATGGGCCTCCTTTATGCAGGAGCTTAACAGAGGTGTAGGAGGAGGAGGAGGTTCAGCTACTCCGTCCCTCAAGATCACCGCTTTCGCCTCTCCCTCCACCCACCACCCCGTCGAGCTTGCTCTTATGCGCGACAACCTCGCCCAGTTTGCCGCTGAGATTGGCGTGGCATTCGATCTTGAAGTTGTTAACTTTGATTCCTTGGAGCAGACGTCTTACTCTATGCCTGTTTTTCGTGCCGAGGGTGAAGTTATAGCGGTGAATTTTCCTATTTGGGCGGCGTCCAACCAACCTGCGGCTTTGCCTAATCTTCTCCGGTTTATAAAGCAGCTCTCCCCGAAGATTGTGGTGTCGTTGGACCGAGGTTGCGATCGGAGCGACCTTCCATTCCCACAACACATCCTGCAGGCCCTGCATTCCTACATTAACCTGTTGGAGTCGTTGGACGCCGCGGTTAACGTGACATCGGATGCTGTAAACAAGATTGAGAAATTCTTGCTCCAGCCCAAGATTGAGAGCACCGTCCTGGGGCGCCTCCGAGGTCCAGTACCTGACAAAATGCCGCTCTGGAAGACGCTCTTTGCCTCTGCTGGCTTCGCGCCCGTGACATTCAGTAACTTTGCCGAGACTCAGGCAGAATGCGTTGTGAAAAGAACTGTGCGGGGTTTCCACGTGGAGAAGCGTCAGGCATCTCTTACGTTGTGTTGGCAACGTCGGGAGCTCGTATCGGTTTCGGCTTGGAGGTGCTGTTGATCGGAAGGATAAGAAGAGAAGCAGGAGGGGTGTTGGTTTCTTTTAAGCAAGCCCAGAATTTTATCATCGCCAGAGGTTCCAACTTGTTACTTTACTCTGATGATATGAAGTCGAGAAAATAATACTGTTTGAAACTATGTTCTTGGTCACCTCTGTTATGATTTCAAATCTTTTGTGAATTTATCATCGTGATTGTTAGTCATCTAGTGTGTCATTATCAATCTATCTATCTATCTATCTATCTAGCTTAGATAAACAAACTAGCATTTTATGTTTGAACATTTCAACATCTAACGGGGAAGTTTAGAGTCCTATTCTTCTTTTGGCCTTGCATATGACTGGCTAAAATACTTTGATATTCTAATGGTGAGAAAATGCATTTTGTTATGCTTGTGATGATTATGATCTGTTGTTGTACACTTTTCTATAACTGACAACTGAAATTGGGAGAAATTCTTACCTGAAGTCCGATTATTCTATTTACTGAGTTTTGTATTTCTACCTTAATTGTGTTGGCTAGTTTGACAATGAATTCACATTCATCTGTTATGTCGAGTGTTGACACTGTCTTTAAGCCTGTTTTCAACTTTCAACTAACCAACTATAATGAACTGTGTTTTATTCCTCGTTTTCTCTAAATCTTCATCGTATTTATAAACTTATTAGTGTCCTTGTAAGGAGCTTGAGGTTGATTTAAATTAGGCCATCAACTAATTAACTGAAAATGAAGCACGAAGGCAAAATACAAAAATTTAATGTGTCAAAGTATGTGGCTTGATGTAATTAGGTGGCATAAACTCCAATTAGGCCATCAACTTAGTTGTGGCTTATGTTGTTGTTCTTGGGTTCAATAGGTAATCTTTTACACATTACACAAGCAAAGAAGTTTTAACACTAATCTGCTAAACTTGCCTCTTTTACAAGGAGTGGAACATGTCAAAATTTGGCACATGCTAACCATTTAGGTAATGTGGAAAATACCACAAATTAGATACTCTTAACCTGCTTCAGATTGCTTCCTAATTGGAAACTGAGAAAATAATGCAGGATAGGGAATAATATCTTTGGAATCACACAACAGAAAACCAATATATCTTTTCCAATTCCCCATAAGAAGTGGATCCTCTAACCTATGTGTTGGTTTTTCTATTGATGGAAGAACTTGTTTGATGCAGAAGCTCTGAGTTTGTCTAGAGATCTCATGGTTGTCCAATGATTTTTCTTTTCCCCTATCTCGTGTCTCGTTGGCAACAGTGATACTTCACAACCTTTGTCCCTAGTTGCACTTGTGTTCCGAATGTCATGTTTCATCAAAAGATTACATGTCTGCATGTAATGTATACACATAGGGACATAAATAAAATATATTTGAGAGAGTGAGACAGTTCTTAGATAGATAGGTTGGCTATGACATATTTAAAAAAAAAAAAAAAAAAAAAAGAAATGAAAAAATGAAAAAATGAAGAAGAAGAAAACTTAAATCGTTGGTGGGCTGGAACTTTAGCAGTTAAAGATAATGTCAAAAACCCTTTATCTAGAAGTTAGGAAACTTACTAGAAAAATGCTTCTTCTTACCTGCGGTGCCAATTATGGGTAAACGTTTGGTAAGGGGTTTCATACCATGATTTGAATCATGGTTCATGATTCACTACAATGTTTTCTCTCTTAAAAAATACATGTAAATCGAAAATGGTTCTAATCCATGAATCAAACGTATGAGACGTTTGGTAAGGAGATTTATACCATGATTTGAATTATGATTTATGATTCGCTACAATGTTTTTTCTTATAAAAAATACACGTAAATCGAAAATGATTATAATCTCATAATTCTAATTCATGAACTAAAAGTAGATTGACATATGAAACTGCATCTCATTATTAATGAGGACCACTTAATTCTTAAAGCATACTACCATGCTCAAGAAGATCTAAATTTACAATCATATTTACACCATGGTTTTGAATTTGATCAATTAGAAATTCTTTACTCCCAAATTACCTATAAAAAGATATTATAATCTTGTGAGGAGACAGAGAATGCATGTCATTAAAATTTTATCAATATTATAATTGATAGCCGCTTTTCAAAATAATACAGGCTAGTCTAACATGGTATGGTTGAAGTCTGCCATACCCTGTCTGAAAACTCTCTCTCTCTCTCTCTCTCTCTCTCCCTCTCCTGTATTAATTACACCAAACACGTAACGCGTCATCGGTCATTCTCCTCTTGTTTGTAAAGCAATGTTATTTTATGAACATGTATAACTATTTGTATATATACATATTAGATTGAGTTCTTTTCATTAATACAGCTCCTCAAATACTTGTCCTCTAGTTCATTGAATTTGCTATATTACTATTTTTTTTTCCTCTATAGTTTCTACTTTCTAGACATCTACTAATCAAGCCACGTGGGCCATGTTTGATTGAACTTCCGGTTCATTACTTTATTCATTAATTTTGTAAGTTTTCATTTTGGAAGCTTTTAATTTAATCCACATTTTTCTTTCACGCATTTGCATAATGATAAAGTTGCTATGAAAGCTAAAAGCAGTCTATTTCAATGAATGAGTTTCTTGTAAGATTATTATATATTTAGTTGAACTAAAGAAAACTTCACACAATTATATAAAATCTAAAGGAACATGCCTAGCTAGTATGAACAGAGACAGAGATTAATCACAGGTTATTATGGTTTCCTCAAAAGAAAAAGGAAATTACTTATAATAATGTCGGTTTCATTGAAAACGAATTCCTATAATAATCCCCGCGAACAACCTCTATAATAGCTTAATAGATTTGAAGATTAATAAAAATTAATTAATTAAAATAAAATAATCTGTCTCTTACAGATGTAAGTAATAGAATAGGGTGTCTTCGGATTTTGTAATTCTTCTAAGCTTTTCCAACTAGTTCTAAATTATTGCTTAACATTATATATTATTTAATTGCTTAGGATATTATAGGGGCATTGGAACTTGGAAGTGATTAAGATTTATGAATAAATAAATAAAAATAGGATTTTTTTTTTTTAAAATAATGAACTAGAAAGCTTTGATCAGACATAAAGATGGCTCATTTACTTAGAGAAAAGCTAGGGTTAGGTGCTTGTCTAGAGCCCAATCACTTTCAAATGGGGGGACATCTTTGGAAAATAAGTCTTTTTTTTTTTTTAAATAAAAAATCTTATATTATAAATCTCGTTTCTCTTTCTGATTTATTTATTTATGTGACTGGAAGTTCAACAGAGCTTGCCCGTCAATTTTAGCACAGCCACTTCACAATGTCACATTTCCATGTCAATTTGAGGCATGGATTAAGATTGGGTTTAGAGATTTGCATGTTATTATTATAATATGTATATGATGACAATTTTTGAGGCCCTTAGTTTCAAACCCATCCCCAAGAGTAAAATTTTGTTGTTTTTTCTCTTTAAAAAAAATAAAATAAAATAAAAGAAGACAAAAGGAGACCCATCTACAGTGCAGAAAAGCTGTGAACCATTTATAATATAGTTTCCGGGGTGCGTCAGTGGTCCTATTCAGATATTGGAAGGCACAATCTTGCTTGGCTTTTCTATCATTTTTCTGTAGTTTTCACTAAAAATACTTTGTAATTTTCACTAAAAATACTTGTGGGAATTCTAATTAGTTATTGGCAAAGAAAAATACTAGTTAGTCAAAATTGACGTACGAATATGAATTTATAGTTAGTTAAATAATACCATCGTAATACAGATCAATATTATCACAAATGAGAACATTAATACATTACTCTTTCCACCAAGAAAAAGAAGCTAAATTTCCGGTAAAGAATTTACGAATGCATAAGCCAAGCCAAGATATGTGCAAAGGACGTACCAATCAAGCCGTAGATCTGTTGGACTGTGTAGACTAGGTCAGGACGATCAACGGCCCACATCGATTGCATGCTACACTAGACTAGATCATTAGTACAGTAGAGTCAAAACCTAGCAGGTCTTCATGTGAACCATAGATTTCTAGAGAGCTACATTGAATGAAGGGTAAGGTGGGCCCAAATGAATTGAAAACACATTTATATTTAAGATTGTGTTGTTTAACTATTAGATTAGATTAGATTTGGGTTCATAATTACTGCAAAGTTTCATATCCAACACCCTCCCTTTCAATCTTTAATCATCTTTTCTAGATCTTTTTCACAGAGTGGTTAGAACAAGTCTTTCAGTTGTCTGAAAATTTGTTATTTAAAAAAACACAAAAAAAAGTTTGATTTAATGGTGATAACCCAAAAATGCCCTTGTCCTCTTGGGAATATTTCAAGCATACCCTTGATCACTGGGGAGATGGAGACAGCTCGTCTCATATGCTGCACAATAGGACGAAAACGACATGAGATCTCTTAGACCCCTTTTAGGTGGGTCCTCGTGCACCACGGAATGAGTCGTCTCCATCATATCGTGCCACGTGTACGGAAGATATTTGTTGTAGCCACCATGTATGACACGTCATTGTCTACTTGAGGATTGATCAATGTCTTAGGGCCTCCCATTGATCAGGTCTCAGGACTCAGAAGTCAGAAGTTGGCCTTGGCCGTATGTGATTAATAAGTAAACAATTATATTTAGGTAGTAATTGTCGATTATCATTTATCACGCGGAAAAAGAAATTATGAAGGGTAGAATGTCTTACTTTGATTAGGTTTTTCCGACTGTTTTTTGAAGTGTATAATTAAAAGCATCTAGAGGAGCTAAATATTTCCTTGCGGACGAAAATAATTTATATTTTGAGAGTAATTAGGGGTTGTAATTTAAGTCGGGTTCGTGTCGATTCAAAAGTTTTGTATCGTATTCGAGTCAACTAACGTGTCACCCGTTTAGTAAAAACGTCACTCAGATTTATACCGTCACGATTAATATTAACAATTTGAGTGTTTATTTATTTACTTAGTCAATTTATCTATATATGACATTGTTAATATAAGTCACAAATCTTATCTTTTACATGTATTAAAAAAGTTTTGTTAAAAAATATTTTTGTCTAAATTTGTATATATTTTAAATAAAAAATTGATAAATTAAATTAATTTCGTGTCTCCGTGTTCGTATCTTGTTCATGTCATGTCTTGTGTGGCAATCCGTATTACCATCTCTAGGATTAATATAAAGGGGTTTTTAATAGTGTCTAGGAGTAATATAAAGGGTTTTTTAGTAGTAGGGAATAATAAGGTTACTTTCAGATCACAAATAGCGACTCATAAGAGATCAAACAAGGAAACGCAAGGTATCTTTCTAAAATCAAAGAAAAGAAAAAGTAGAGGAAAGCTCATTATAATTAGTGGCCACAAACAAATCCTTGAAAAAAAAAAGAATAATAAAACCTGCTCTAACTATAACTGTTTCATTTAATCTTTATTATATATACACACATTATTATTATTATTATTATTATTATTATTATCTG